AGCAACAAAACAATTTTGTTTTTAACAATAACATTTACTTGAAAAATAAAAAAAAATATTCATTAAACACTTGAAAGAATTGTTCAATAAAAAAAGAAAAAATGAAATGTACCAATTGAATTATTCAGTAGATGAAAGAGAGTGTATAAACATTTTCACATATGCATTTACATGTTTTTTTTTACATTTATTCAACGCTTTTTCAACAATTATTCTTCGACAAGATTGAGAAACATACAAGATGTGAAAGAGCAGAAAAATATTGAGGGTATGCCTGGACAAAGAAGAGAGAAGAGAACGAGTGGAATGAATGAAGCAGACCGTGTATGCTTTGAGCTTTTACCGCAGCTTTGTGGTCGTCCCTGTTCTGCAGTAGATGGGCTCACCGGTCGCGTTTAATATTACCAAAGTGCTCGGTTGGAAAAACCGACGGAATTATGAATTTTTCATTGTGTTGCTATAGTGAGACCGGTGGTTCACTGAACAATCTATATATCATCCCTTTTGCTTGCTTATTTCTTCTAAAACTGCAGCCATCAAGTATCAAACGAACCATAATTAACTTGGCAAAAAATACCTCTAAAATTATTGATCAGACATCAATTCATTGATAATATCCTAAAGTAATTCCTAAGCTCAATATTTGTTTCATATCACTGCAAATCTAACAACAAGTTGTTTATAAAATATTTTATATCAAAACATTTAAATAATTTTTAATATGAAACATTATTAATGACATATTACTTTTAAATATTTCTATGTGTTTACTAAAACTATATAATTTATTTAAGGCATTCAATGTTTAAAACAATTAAATTTACAGTGTATCGATTAAATAACTCCAACAATTTGTTATTTAAAAAAATGATAATTCGTCATCAATAATTTTATTATTTATCATTATAATTTTAATTATCAATTTTAAAAGTATATTTAAATAAATTTAATTGATTCTAAACTTTCTAATAGAAGTTAGAAGTAAATAAATATAATCCTACTAAATAAACTTTACTATCAAAGTAGGTATTAAGATCGCAATGATGATGATAAACTATCTAAACAGTTATTACTTTATATTCACACATTCGTTGCGTAACTAAAACACTAAATGCAAATCTAAAAAACTACTGATAAGATAAAAATTTATTCATTGCATAAATCAACAAAAATAGTCAACTGCGTAGAAATATATTTTTAAATAAACGATAACGACAAGTCGATTTTCTCTAACATATCCACATGTGTCACTGATCGATCATAGTATATAAATATAATGTCAGACCAATGACCACGAAACAGGTGCACTAATGTCACGAAGAGTTTTACTGTGTAGATTAGATGTCTCGAGGGCCGTTGAAAATGTCAAGACCTTTTACATGTGCACATAGCTTCTATTCTACTAGGAACAAAACTATACCAACACATATGCAACTCTATGTATTTTTTTTATCGAAAAAAATTTTTCTTCGCTTAATTAAAACAAGTCTAATTAACAATTTCCTATCCAGTATTATCCATTTCACTAAAGAAATCACATGTATCTGTTAAAAATTTTCATATTTATTCATAATTTATGTAAATAAATTTATCACAATTTATGCTATCGTAATAAAAAAAAATATTACATTTTTTTTCCTTTATTTGTTATGATTATTATTAAATAAAGTATGATATATGAATATGGATTGATAAAAAGATCAATGCAATCGTATGTTAATGCAACAAGGCAGAATTCCTTCATCGATTCTATTTGTCGTACTGTTTAGTCTATTTTTTTCTTCCACGTATATTCATGCTGAATGCTCTAGCAAATCGTTGAATTAACTTATTTACATTACATATCAACATTGCGCAAATGTGCTATTTTTTAGCCTCAGATGATTAAGTACATACAAGCCATTCAATAATGACAAGTTTGTGTATCAATGTTCATCAATATCAAATTATACTATTGAGAAATATAAACTCTGAGACTTCATTTCTTTCATTGTTTTTTTTTTTACTCCATTTCCAATATTTCCTTGCAAATGATTTATAATCAATATTATTATTTCTTAAAAAGTAGAGGAAAAAAAGGATTGAAAATCTTTTATGAGGAATGGAATATTCATTTTTCATAAGCATATATAAATGTCGGCTATTAATGTGTTCATGTTACAAAGAAGGTACAAAAGAGGTAATTAGTGGATGCTCGTTTCATCAGTCACTTTCCTTTTAATACAATTTTTTTTATCATCTCTCCATCCTCCTCAGCCCGACATTGGGAGTCAAGAGTACACGCAAGACTGACGAGAGTATTCGTCCACCAACCTTTTCTTTGAGGGGCACAAGACGTATTGGTGAAGCTAATGAAACGACTAGCATCATCATCGACTAAAGAAAAACACTATAAAGAAACGAGTACATCTACAGACCCGATTAACTTAAGTTATATTTTATACAGAGGTTACCAACACCATTGGAAAGAGAACGAGATATTTTTAATTAGATACACGAGAAAGGATACAGCAGTTCATCTATCATAAAAACGCCAAGTGGACATACAAGTTTAGATGAGCGATTATACTTGCTAGCAATCATTTATACTATAACTAAACCACTTAATTTTTTTTATACATCCTTAATACTTCTAAGCATTCCTTCAGATGCTAATACATTAAGCCACTGGTTTCAATGAAAAAACAAAAAATTAACAACAAATATTTTAGACTAATTAAAAGTCAGTGAAAGCATGAAATCGTGAGACAAACAAGTTCACATGTCACTCCATAGTAAATCAGCAATAAAGGGGAGGTTTGGCGTGACGCTTCTATTGGCTAGTAGAGCGACTGCTCGAAGCTACTTTGGTGACCTCTGACCCCACCCCCGGAGGGCGCGCGCACGCCTCCATTTCTGCTGGTGAATCCTCCACCCCCTTGAGGAAGTAATTACCGTGCTGCCACCCTCGTTCGATAACGCTATCGTGTGCTTGCGTCTCTCTGTCCGCGCAACCTCGTACCACCTCTAAGTCTCCCTTCACCCATTCTAACGTATGTTCCACCTATGCCCACCAACATCATACTTACGCGTCTTTGTATGCCCTACGCCTGCAACTATTATGGATGCATAAATTGTATATGATCTGGGATAAGAGAGAAACTTTAGTCTCATCTCATTCACCATTTTCCTCATCTCATACTACTCCACTTACTGTTAATTACTCTTCAACCCTTTTAAACCTTAATTATTTATTACAGAAACACATTTTTTATATCTTATTTATCATATGAATAAAAATATGAGAAGCTTTTTTCAGGTCAATTAAATGAAAATTATTCTTTTCTTTTTTATCATTTACTAATGGAAGAATTTATTGTTGATTATTTATTTGTTGAATTTAAATTTTTTATTAAATAATTATTTAAATTTGTTATTTGTTATAATACTAGATAGTTAAATGCAGAAAAATGTAAGAAGGATAAGACGACGGTTGAGAAATCTCGAAGAGGATTTAAAATTTGTCGGTAAAGATTTACACGTGATTTATCCTGAGCCCCCCCTCAGTCTACATTAGAATAGATGATATCATGACTACATAGATTTTACTACAGGGTTATATGAAGGGCTGGTTTTTTGATACGATTTTCTCATTCACTATAGCTTTTACTCACTCCTAAGCTCTAACACTCGTACTTTTGTCAAGAAGCTCGCGGAAATGGATTTACCGGTGTGATCGAGTTATATTCATCGCATGAATGATTTATATATCTACTTAGGGTGGCAAATAATCATTAGGGTATGAGTGATCCGATATATTTACGCATCAAATAAATTTTTACAATTATAAAAAATGTTTATCAGCTGAAAAAAAAAATTTTCTTTACCATAAACATTGATTAATGATAAAAATAAAATGTTTATTTCTGAAAAGTGTTTTTCATGCAATAAAAGTGCTTGACAGTTACATTAAACAGGTTCAAATGGATCGATGTAATTCAGTGAAATATAAATGGACGTAGGTGATGTCGAGAAAGGAGCTTTTCTTCAAAGTGTGATAAATACAGTAAAGAAGAACAGTACACGAGGGTGCTCTCATCGAGATTCTCATTGGCAGCTACGTCTTGAACGTGAATCGCGATTGGTTGCTCGAAGGTCGAGGGTCGCCTCATCTACCCCTAACCTTGTGAGACCTCCCACGCTAAATCGCGAGATAGCATGCACTCCATTCCCCTTTTAACTCATTCATGTCATCTACTTTTTTCCACATACACTACTTCCAACATTGCCTTTTCAATTTTTTGACATTCAAATAACGTGTTATCACCTCCGGAAAAAAAATAAAATTTCAAAAATTTGCTAAATTAAAAAAACTAAAAGTATGAAAACATGTCAAATATCTCATCTGAGTTTGATAAAACCGCCCTTTTAACGCTTTTCTTTATAATCGCCAGGGCCGAAATGCCACGATGTGACGTCATGAGCTCATCCATCAAGGCCCATGACAACCGGCAAACCGGGCCGATTAACTTTTGTATTCGAACAGAGGGGATGTTAGAACATGAAAAAAAAAAAACGTAAAATAAAACCAGAGTGAAACAGAAAGAAGAATGAAAAGAAGTAGAATATAAAATAACGCATGTACTTTGTCTTTCTCTGAGTTTCATTATTAAATAAGCTGCATCAATAATTTGTGTATTGAAATTGCAGAAAAGAACTTGAAGCTACATTAATTATTATTATTATATTTCTCATAAGAAAAAATGATGAATATTAATTTTCCTATACGTAAATGATGTTTTTAAACTAGTACGAGGGTCCCATTTTGCCCCAGATTCTCTTGATTTCTCTGCAAGTATCTTATCAATACTAGAGAGGTAAAATAATCATAAATCTATTAATCATTTACTTCATTTATGAAAGTGAAACAACTAGACTATAAGTAATAATCATTCGATAGCAATCATAGTTGGTAAATAAACAAAGAAATCTCAATAAAATTGTAATGATTTACATTAAATAATATAAAACAGGATTAAATTTTAATCAGTATATTTTTAAATAACTTATGCCTATTGATATTTTTCTATCTCTATGATAAAAAAGTGAATTGTCTGACGTGAATTATTGTGGGATTTTTTCATGATCATTTATCTGCTCTAGATAGAAGTAAGTGTATATGCTGGCCGATCATAGTGGACCTTTGGCGTCATTTATGAAATACTCAGATTGTTATCTCAGCCTCCACGGAATAGTTTTTCCCTTTATGACTGCATCAAAACACTACTGCTTACTATCTATATTATCGTTGCTTTTTTTCGTCTTTGGCTCCCACGAAAAACATAGACTTGTGACCGATGATATTTTTATAGTCACTAGATAAAAAGAATCAACCAACTATTGTAAAGAGATAATTCGCTTTGAGTTTTTTATACCAATTATTTTGATTTATATTAATACATCATCCAATCTCGTTTATGTTCCCTAGATATTTTTTTTTTTTTTTAATTCTGTCTAAATCTTTTAGTCTAATATCTAAATGCAAATACTCAACTGATAATTATATTTGATTACATTATATATAGTTAAAATCGTTTATTTAATAAACATGATGCAAGTGATTTACTGATTTTAATCAGTAATCTTTTAAATATTCATTTTAATATGTAAATACAACTAATTATTTACGAAGAATATCTCATAATACACCGATATAAATCGACATAAAATTATAAACCTATATATATATATATATATCGTATTTAATGATATTTAAATTTATTTTCAAATCACTTCACACGCATCTTAAATTCCTATTGTGCATTTTTTTAAACAAATCAATATGAATCAGCATAGTGTTACTGATTATCATGTTCACTTATAGTGTCAATAAGAAAAATTAAATTAGTACCTTAATACAACGGCAGTTATGCTCTACTTTTAATACGGCTGTGATAACGGTCTTCCAAAAACTTAAATAAAGAGTCAATACATGACGAAGATGTCATTTCATGAACAGGATGTCCAGCAGATACGCATGGAACATCATCACTTGCACAGTCTACTGAACTGTCAAGAGGTTTGTCTGAAGATACCCAATTTCTAGCAACCTGTAAAAAAAATTACAAGTTAAAAAAACATGGCCAATCAAAGGTTACAACAAAAATAAAATGTAAAATAAAATCAATCTTTGTATCATGTTTCTTATAATTCTGTCTTTGAAGGCTTCTCAAGTAAAACCATAACCAATTTTTCGGCTGCACGTGTGACCACAAGACCACAACAAGATGCTGCTTCCGTGCATCGTATCATTTTCGATGTATACTTCGGTATAAAAAAAACTCATTACAATGATTTTACTTGAATATTATACTTCGGAAATACAGAAATCAAATAAAGTTCAATGAAACTTTAACTACACCTGCTGGGATTGGATTTTATCAGAAAATTGAAAGTTTGAATTTATTTATTGATAATAATTCCAAGTTTTATTTTTTGAATTTTCTAATTTAGGCTTGCTGAAAAGGTGAACATCAATTGAATTCATTACAAATTACAATGTTTTCATAATATAAAGAGTTTTATTTATTGATAGTTATGTGAATGTTTGCTCAAGCACTCTAATTAATTACCCGCTTATACAATAAGGTATCGCCTGTTTGTACTAACTGAGTGCAGTTAGATTAACTGTTTAGCTATCTTATATTCTTACATCTCATTTTGTATATTCAAGATTTTTTTACTCTTGACACATTTATAACTAGCAAAATCATCTTGAATATGACTTGCAGATTTTATTAAAATAAATCCGATAATTAATCATGAAAAGCATCAAACTTTACTACTTTATAATGTAGGATATATATAGACTATGGGTTGCAGTGTCTTTTATAATAATAAATAATAAAGATAATAAAAAAGATTTGAGAAGAGTTAAATAATAAAAAAAAAGTCAAGTTGCAGAAGGATGTCAGGCGAACAAGGCAAGTTGATTGGTGTGATGGCACATTTACAACACGAGTTAAAGAAAAAAGTCGTAAAAGAGAGTCAACGAATACCAACAAAACAGAATGAGAGTTACATATAGAGACTCCTGACGAGCCATAACTATGAGAATACAACCACTTCTCTTGGTAGCTCAATATACTCCACTCAACTCTCTCTCTGAGAGTTGAAAATCATGAAACACACTGGGCATTGTCGGAACACGACATTCATCTCCATACGATTCATCCTTGTGTTTCTGCCAGGCAGAGTCACAGCTCTGTAGGGGGTTTGTATTTTACCAACCCTCAAATCACTACTTCTATTTATAGTTGTCTAACAGCTTTATAACTACATTCTACTTCACTTTTAAATAATTATTGTTGAATTTAAATATTTAAATTAAAAATAAACCTAATTTTGAATCCACATTTCAAGCTTTTCAACTTATCAAAATTACACATCAAAACTAGAAAAAATTTTTATCATTGACAAATCTTAACTTATAAAAAGTATTAGATGTGAAAAATATTTTCAAATTACAATAAGCAAGTATTATAATTTCCCATGAGAAAAAAGCTAATAATTATTATCTCGATTAAAAAAGTACTTCTAGACACGTAATTTTTGTTCAATTTTTAAACAAGTATCACAATACAATAATTAATTACCCTAGTGATGCTAATATAAACTATTGCCAGTTTTCTACAATAGTTTTTGCTTTTATTTTTTTGTTGTTTATTATTCTCTACATATAGCATACTTCTATTATATTAAATGAAACCGCTACTGACACTCAGTGGTATATTGACACTATACAACACGCAGAGTGGACAAGTACCACTCAGTAAAGTAGAAGGCTAATGGAAGAAGTCACGCAGTTTCATTGTCACTAGAACAATACATCTTGAAAACTATATCACAAAATAAAGTGTACCGTTTGATTTCACTATAGAAGATTATTTAAACTATTTTTTGTACGAAATTTTTTAATAATAAATTCGTCAAATATTCAAAATGATCGATTTTCAATAATATTATGAAAAAAAAAATTATTTTATATTGATTGATTTATAAAACCGTTGACAAGCGAGTTTTAACAATCAATGAAAATAATAATCACGAATAATCAGTCCAAAACTGCTCTATTATTTTCTCTAAACCACAATTTTTAATAGATTTTCCTTATCTTATCAGAACACATTTTGATTTACAAAAAATTTAATATTAACGAAAAATAAAGCTATGGTTTGTGAGCATCGAGCCATAACAAATATTTCATAATAATTATTTAAGTCAAAACATCTGATAAATATTTTAACTACAAAAAACATGATTTTTTAATTTTATTCATTCAAATTGTTTTATTAGCTTTTCCGTGTTTGAAATATCAAATTGAGTAATCGATGCTCATGTTATTCAACACATGGAGAATAGTTTTAGCAAGAGAGCTAATAAAGACTGAAACCTGCGGAGTTATTGTAGATTGAAAAATGAACCCAAATGAATGAACAAATATTTGTCAATTTTATATTTGTTTTCAATGTATGGCATAAATAAGTACTCAACTTAATATTGTTTTTTATTAAATAAAAAAAAAATAATAAATAAATAAAATCAATAAACATTAAATAATTACCTGAACTAAATAGTCACAACCCTTTTCCGGCATTTTATGGACGGAATCTGTGAAGCCTACTGCGAAAACTCTTTTTTTGAATTCATCATAGTTTTCAACGGCCTAAAAAAATTGATTAATTATCAAACCATCATTCTTTCTATCACTATTATTAGTTTCAAAATACTTACAAATTCAACTGTGCAAACGCCTCCGTAACTATGAGCTACGATAGCAATGTTTTTTGCTTTCGATGGTTGAATATAATCTGTCCAAGTCGTTTGCATGTGACTATGAGGATTTTCACTACCCTATTCAATTTAAAAATTATTTATGTTAGCATAGCGATTCAAAACAAAATAATTAATAGAATACGCACTGGAATTTCTTTAGTAACTCCATCGATTGTCCTCCGGTTATCGTTGGTATTTAAAACAATAATTCCATAACCCAATTCCTTAGCTTTTCTAATATATGGAATTTGCGTACCAGAATTGAGACTGTCGTTAATTATTAAACGACGAGCCCACTGACCTGCTCTAACTACTCCACTACCATGTATAAGAATTAATACTTTTTCATTGGTAAATGCTTTATCACATGCAAATATAAAAGAACGTAATTCTTCAGGTGCATTGCTGTTGCGCGGGAGAGGTATTCGTTTTAATCCTTCATTTTCTAGCAACTCGTATACATATTGATTGATTACCTATGATAATTGGTTTATTCAGTCAAAATATTAATTTATAAAGAAATATATGTGACATTTTAAAATTAAAATTGAATTAATCGAACCATACCTCTCCTAAAGCTTCATAGCGTTTTTGATTATACTGAGCATCTTCACTAACATTAAAGTCAAATCCTTCGTTAGTTGGCAAATTAGTTTTAGAATCTAACTTTCGAAGCTTCCCACCTGGAACATCACCATATTAAATTCATTTTTACCAACTGCTAAAATAAGATTTTCTACGGTCAATGTCGCCAATATTTTTAAGACAATACAAATAGAATAGATTTAATCTGATGTCAGATAACGATCTTACCTTCATCAAAAACGTACCCAAAGTCCTTTAAATTACGTGGAAATGTAGGAGGTTGAGCCATTTTTGTATATTTAGCTAGAAAAATGTTAATTTCTTAATATTAAAAATCGAACAATATTGAAACATAACCTCTGATAAATGTCTAATGAATTCAACACAACATACTTACGTATTGTTGTTGACAAGTTACAAGTCGAACTTAAGAATGAATTCTTAACAAACCGACAGGCTAATGATTGACTTGATGGTGACAAGATAGTGTAAAATTGTTGATAAAATGTCGTATTTAAGTAGCAAATAGTTGTCAATATTCGTGCAAATTGACTACTTGCTTCTGATGCCATTTAACGCGCGCAAAAAATTGTAGCGGCAACAATAGCTGCAACGATTATCGACTAGAAGTGAATAGTTTCGATACATTAGTTGTGATAAAATTATACAGGTGGCGTAACAACGAATTTCCAATATTAGTTACCTAACGTAAACGTGTGGGGGCGTGGAATTGAAAACATCAAAAATGGCTACCCTTTTATTTGCAATATTTGTGTTTATTTAATTTAAATTTGTATTTAATTATGTGAGACACTTTATCTGAGACAATGTAGAAATAAAAAATAACATAACACCGCTACTATGAAAAATCCAAAAATAGCAACACAATTATGGTATAAAAATTTTAAGCAAAACACTGGTTATTTTTACTTCAAGGTAGGATACAAATAAAATTTTTATATAAGATTAATGATGAACATTGAAATTTCTCTATTTATATACAAATTTTTAGCAATATATATAATTGCTTTTAATTGCAAAACGCAATTTCTTTTTTAAAAAATATAGAAGTCTTGTGATCATTAACAGTAGATCATAACTTTGATAGCATTACTTGCAGGTGATTTTGCAGCTTCAAAAGCTGCATGCGCTTCTTCAATTTTAAATTTATGTGTGATTAGTGGTTTTACATCAACTTTGCCACTAGCTATAAGGTTTAAAGAATCAGCGTAACTGAAATTAAAAAAAAAAAAAAACATTTATAATAAATATATTTCTAAACTTAAAAATAAACTTTATAATAAAAAAGGTGATATTTTTTTATAAAGTGATCAGTGAACAAATTTTACTAACTCATTGCAATATCGAAAAACTCCACGAATATCAATCTCTCGAATAAGAGCATTCATAAGTGGAATTTTAACCTCTGGAGCACCCATTCCTACTAAAACAGCTGTACCACCAGACTTAGTAGCTAGAATAGCAATACGCATTGATGCCTCCGCACCAGAAGCTTCAATTGTTTTATCTGGTGCTCCACCAAACATTTGATGAATTAATTTAATTGAATCTTCTTCTTTCATATCTTTTTGAATTTGTAAAACCTTATTCGCACCTAATTCTTTAGCAACTTTCAGTCGCTTCTCTACCAAGTCTATAAAATAAATAAGATTAATATTAACATTAATTTTACCTTGACGTCAAATAATGATACATTTAATGACTTCAATATTATCGCAGGCAATTCATTTACTTTGCAATAATATTTGAAGATTTAATTTGATAAGATATGTAAATAGCAATTCATAGTTCTTCTGCAATTGTTCCATTAGCAAATAAAAGTATTTCCTAATAATTACGTAAGATGCATTCAATTACTAACCAGTTACTACAATATAACTAGCTCCCATAGCTTTAGCAGCTAATAGAGTCACCAATCCAATTGGTCCTGCTCCTGTAATTAAAACTTTTGATCCAATTCCAATATTTGCTCGTTTACAAGCATGTACTCCCACAGATAAAGGTTCCATTAATGCACCTTCTTCCAAAGTTATATGGTCTGGTAATCTTTACGGAATAAGAAATGCTATTATGTAAATTTTATTCCATTCAAATTGATAAATAATTACTCTAAAATACTTATTAAACATCAATAAACATAAATTTTAAGTCGTAAGACATGATCTGAATGACCTCAGATAAGTTACTGACGTTGCACATATTTTTATATAATATAATAGGTGAAAAGTCAGATATTGTACCATATATTTTCGATAATTAAAATTTTAAATAATTTAATCGTAGGAAAATAGATATAGACAGTTAAGTTTACTTGTAGCAAAAGTCAGCTGCATGAGTATAATAACGTCGTAGACTTCCGTGGTCAGGAGGAGTAGCACAGAATATGATTTCCTCACATAAATTGTAATGTCCTTCTTTACAATATGTACATGTTCTACAAGGAACACCAGGTTCCACAGCTACACGATCACCTATCTGACATTTATAGAATTTTTTGTAAATCAAAACAAAGAAAGATTAACTTTTTGAACTCTGCAATGAATATTCATGAATAACAGATAAATACTTTTAAATTTTTCACGTTTTTCCCAAGTTTTACTACTGTTCCTGCACTTTCATGTCCAATTATCATTGGTTCTTTTACTATAAAGTCCCCTATTCTTCCGTGAACTAAGTAATGAACGTCAGAACCACATATTCCCACACAAAACATCTGTAAAAGGACCTCTGTAACATGGATTGTTATTTTTTATTAATAATGATAATTTCCTCTTTTAAAGAGATATTAGATGAGTTGGAATAGCAGAATGTATTTTTTTTTCAATTGACAATAATCGTGTTTAACAAAAATAATATTGAAGTGTTCTAAAAATAGCTCAATAAATGTAGTTCAAATGTGCAATAATAGTGACTTTAACGCATTAACAAGAGTATACATATGGAAAATTTCAAATTGCATTTAATATTGATGTAGTATACCGTACAAGTTCAAAGACATTTATTATAAATAACATTAATAATCAAGGTTTCGGGAGTTATTAGTTACATCGACAGAAACAAATTTATAGTTCATTTTTTCCTTATTATTTATTGATTACGATAAAGAATTTTTCCAAGTATTCTAGTATTTATTTTTCAAATGTTATCGCAAAAATTCAATGTCAAGTCAAGATTATTTCCTGATCCGATTATTAGTAATTAAGTATTGAAGAAAAAAAAAATTATCTTTTTATTGATAAAATAGCTTACCATTGTCCTTAGGCTCAGCGATTGGTGTTTGCTCCTATACCACGTGCAAAAAAGAACAATAGGTTTTTAAAATCATTCATTAATATGCTGACTATTATTTTCTCTATTTAGAATTTTTATTAAGCTTATATTAGTAACTACTGTGAATATTGCAAATAGTTAGTAAAATATATTTTTCTATTCATGATTTTTAAATATTATTTTACGGACTGATTTTAGAAAATATAAAATATTAAAGAATTTTATTATGACTTACTAATCGCAAATCGTCGATTCCATAGAGTACAGCTGTTAGGTTGTCTTTAGCCATTGATATGAGATTTCTAAGTGAAAGCTTTGTTATCAAGGGTAACACGAAACACGAAATACAGAATTGAATAGAGTTAGTTAACGGTTAAACTGAGTGGTACTAGAATGAGCTACAAGAGCTCGGGGTGTGCGATTTATACAGACTGCGGATTTAAGCTTTGCCCTTGTTATCGTTACGTGCTCGTGAATGTCTCTTAATGTCTGTATAATAATGTAAGAGATGACATCGAGCCAAATAACGTCATTCTCACTAAAATCAAGTATTGGTCTTCAACTTGGTATTGGATAATGCAATGATAATTTAACCACGCCTTCTTCTCTAGCTATAAAAATTACCGATCATATCGAGGAGAACAAATGACAGATAAACACTAGTTAAATGCTTCAATTCATCACTTAGATTACTTTATCATTCACTATAAATAATTTTTATTTCTAAAAATACAAATTTAATATCTTCCATTATTTGGATTTATTTTTAATATTAAAGTTTTATTTTTTCTAATTTTTTTTTTACATTAATTTCATATATATACATATACATATATATATATATACATATATATAAAAATTAATTAAATAATTAATCCCAACTCCACATGCCACCATCTGTTGATTGTTTAATGGTATCACGATTTTCACGACGTACACGTGTCGTAGCGCTTGCTTCACCCTTTGCTAGAATTCTTCTTGATTGTCCGTGTCGTTCTCTCTTCTCCAAAGATTGTCTAACTCGTCGTTTAATTACTTCCGGTGCAATTGTTGCTGCTGTTGAAGCACTCCTTACACTTCTATCATCATAAAATGATTCACTATCACAGTTTCGTTCATTTGACAATGACAGGTTAGACATTTCACGAATTGTGCTGCTTTTATCATCTTCTTCATCTCTTAATTCTTCTTTTTTTTCTTCTAACAATAATTGATTAAATTTATCTGAATGAATAATATTTTCCGGGGTTTTTAAAGTGAGATTGTCTTGACTCAACTTATCAAATCTATTAGTAATTTTACTATTCTCTGGTCCAAGGTCTTTCACAACCATCCAATCAACTTCTTCTCGTAATGACTCGATGTTTTCATTTAATTTTTCAATAACTTCTTCATTTTGATCATTATCGTTATCATTCTTTTCAACTACACCCATTTCTACGAGCAAATCTTTCTCCATTTGTTTTGTTAAACCACTTGCCTTAATTTCAATGTCAATACAATCCTCTCTAGAAATATCTTTAAATGATGGATATAATTCACTTTCATATCCAAAACGACGTTTAAAAAAATTTCTTATACAACTAACATCACGCTCGAAGAAGTATTCGGCATTAGTATGCTCTGTGGAAACCATTTGAGGGAAATCAATAAGTATAGGTTTACCATCATCACTTATCATGATGTTAAATTCATTGAAATCACCATGGATGACACCATGATTGCCAAGCTTTACAATTAAATCCATTAATTCATCATAAAGTCCTTCAACATTAGGTACTTCTGATACATTACATAAAGGAACTCCATCAATGAGATCCATGATAACACAATGCCTATTGAAGTCTATTGGTTCTGGTACTGGAAATCCACGATCTTTGAGGGCTTTCATGTAAGCGAATTCTCGGGTAGCAGATATCCTAGACAGATAAAGCCATGACATAGATTTTCTATGTTGATGGTAATCTCGTTTTTCTTTTATATTACGAAAACATGTTCGACCTAGTCTGTGAAGCTTTAAACAAAGCATTTTCCCTTCTTCATTTGCGACAACATAAATATTTGATTCTTTACCAACACCAATTTGACTTCCAAAAGAAGAAACAACACTACGAGATGTTAATACTTTGAGAGCCAAATAATCGTATCCAGCATTAGTTAATCGATACCCATCATCTAAAATATTGATATATATTAGTTAATATTTTCACAGCAAATTACTAACTTAAATAAATTTATATAAAGTTATCTTACAATGCTTTCCACGTTCATAGCTGACTAATTTATGTTTAGATAGTTCTCGTAGTATTTTATGTACCCCACCATGGCACAAATTAGCTATTTGAGCTACAAGAATGGCTGGAACTAACTCATGGTTTTTCATTCCCATTTCAATCTATAAATAAAATGTTAATATAAAATTAATTTTTTAAGAAAATTTCACGAATCTAATAAATTATTGACAAAATAGATTTTGATAAAATGTTGATATAAAACTAACCAACAAATTCTACTTACTGCTGTAAGAACTCGAAAATCCTCTCTGGATAAAAGACGTAGATTTGTTACGTCAAGCTTTCCCATCTTAGGAACTTCAGTATTGTAATAAATAATTTAAAAAATAAAAATATTCTTGATATATCTTGATTTAATGTTTATTTTCGAGAACACGTGGTTATCATTTACAATCAAATGAAGAATTCTTCATACAAAATGACGCCCAACCCAGTTCCAATTTTCTTTGCTTATTACCTTCAGCTGATCATGTACTTTGCTTATTACCTTCAGCTGATCATGTAGACTGCTGTCAGTGACAATATGCAATACATAGTATGAAAAATTATTTTATTTGAATTCATATAAATTTATAAAATTATAAAAGTACGTATAAAATAAAATGCCACACAATTTAGTTTTATTTTTATTGATGGATGATGTACTTTTAATACTTTCGAATTACAAATAATAGTGCATACGATTATTCAAATATTTAAATTCATTGTAATAAAATTATTATAATTTTTTGAATGTACCATATAGAACGTAAAAAAAATAACTTTAAACACTTAAAGATTAAAACAAAACAAAACATCATATTCATTATGAATTTATGATAATTTGATATTCTTACATTAATTGCCAATGTTACTTATTAAAGTATCCTAACAATGATTATATTAAAAACAAATTAATAGAACCAAAACCCTTAGTAAATTATTATTTTTTGATTGTTGACAAACAACTAATTATAAGATATATATAGAAATATATTTTTATCGTTGTAATTGAAGTCATGCTTATATAATTTTTTAGACTTCTTATTTTAATCAGAATGATTATATACATATCACAATTGTTATAGGACTGAAATCATTATTAAAAAAGAATATATACTTCCCAAAATCTTCATGAGTTAATGTGATAGAAATTATACGTAATGAATTATTTTTCAACGAAGTTTAACAAATATAAAAGGCACTTCAACTCAATTATTTATGTCTTCATCGTCATCGACCAGAAAATGTCATTTATAGTTGTACAATCATAAAATAATAAAAAAAAATTTACCTACTCTGAAATACAATTTTATATTTATTAATAATAAAAAATTTAAGTATCCGAATGTTCAATTAAATTTGAAAATTATTTGTTTTTTTTCGGTTTAAACTATGTATTAGTCATTAACGTAATTGTTGAATCAATGTTTTATGATCAGAAAATACAGACAAATTATTTTGTAGTACTCTTCAATGATAATTACTTTAATCTTCAATTTCTTCATCAGACCCAAATATTGATCCATCGTTAGAATGCTTATCTCTGTTTGAGCAATTGATGAAACTTGAATACTGTAACCAAAATAAATAAACTTAATTTTTTTTTTTTTTTTTTGTTAAACTCATGTTCATAAAAAAAAATATTTACAGGATTTACCTTTTTGCTAATGCTTTCTTGTGCTTCTTTACTATTATCAAGTGGTACAAAATCTTCATGGCTATCATTAAATTCTTTTGATTTATCAATACTATTATCAAAACGTTGAGATTTCTCTTTTTCATCAAAAATGGACCCATCATCTGATAAATTTGGATCAAGAATTAAATCTAGCTTTTTCTTTTCACGCATTTTTTTATGTGATCTTTTAATTGAAGTAGATTGTACCAATCTCAGGTATGACTTAGCCTCTAAACTATTAGGAGGCGTTTTTACTGATGGTGATATAGGATTATTTTCGTTTAAATAACTTGTTGATGGTTTTGGACTAAGTGATTCTTGAGAAGATTCATTTTTAGCGCTGTCTGAACTAGATTCATATGTCTTCAAAGAACGCCATTGATTATTGAAATTTTTAGCATCTCTGTCATTTTCTACTAATCTAATTCGTCTTGCTTTTGTCCATTTGTCTTTTCGATGAGATTTTTTGATTGAACTTAATGCAGAAAGAATCTTCATACAATTTTGATTATCTGGAGTTAAACGACCATTATCATTGTTTTCTTTAGGAGAACTATATACATAGGGTTCTTCGGAAAAATTGTCTTCATTATTCAAAATACTTACACCTAATTTAGGTGTTTCACAACGATTTTTAGATAATTCTTTAGAGGATTTTAATGGAGTAGAAAATGAACAATTGTTCAGTACCCTAGGAGTTGTAAAAATGAACGACTTTCTTCTTTTAATGGGTGTAAATATTTTAAATTCATCTTCAGCACTTTCTTTACAAATTAAGTCAAGGGATTGATTGCTAGAAAATGATGAGTTTTTGTTCGACTCACTATTCAATGGGCTTTTTCTTTTATTTGGCGAAGAAATTAATTTGAAATCTTCATCACTTATATTTAGTAATGAGTCTCGAAGGCTTTCATAATGAGAATTTTTATCATTATGTAAAGAAAATGATCCAGATAATGAGTTAGATGAATTAGTGGCTTCAGATATATTGATCAAAGGGATACTTGATTTTTGTTGACTTTTTTCAAGTTCCATATGAGAACCATTATTATTTTCTGATAATGAGATTTGACGTTGAGCAAATCCGATTTTACGGTGTTTATCTTTTTTATGTGATTTCTTTACAGAACTAAACTGAGCTAATAAAATTCTGCTAGAGTTTACATTTTCTGGAGTAACCGAACGATTTTTGTTGTCTGACGTAGGAGTTATTGGCATTTCTTCATTTCTTTTACTTGTGTTTCCTACTGTTACATCTTCAAGTTCTTTACATAATATATCATTATGATCAATGTTAATTGGTGTATCCGAAACTTGTGGTTTAAAAAGTTTTTTCTTATTTGAGTCTTTCAATTTTTTATGAGACTTTTTGATAGAATCACTCATAATTTTTTGTAGATAGTTAATACGATTTTCTGGAGTACTGGGATTTGAAGTAGTTACTACAGATTGAATTCTAACTCTTGGAGGTGTATGTACTTCAAGCTCTTCTGAGTTATCATCTTGAATTAAATAAAAATTAGAATTATCATTAAATTCTACTGCTTCATCTTTATCAAATTCATTTTCTTTATTATCTTCTTGGTTTATTTTATTAGTATTATTTTCGTCGGTCAATTTGCTTTCAAGGTTTTCGATTTCTTCTGAATAGTCGAAAAGTGATCCCGTATCAGACTGTTCATCATCTGAAACGTTCCCACTTATTCTTTTCCTACTTTTATCTTTCTTGTGAGACTTTTTTATTGAATGTATACTGTAGTTGGGGCTTGGTTCTCGTTCTGTAGTCAATGGTGTTGAAGGTCGTTCTTCATCAATTTCAATATCGATTTTTTTAGGATGATCACCATGAATTTGAGCTCGATGCAAGAAACGCCCAGAAAATCTTTCCTAAAAGATGAACAGAATAATGTAAAATAAATGTTTTGAAAATTAATTAAAAAATTGGATTTTTAGAAGTTTATAATTAAAAAATATTTTCTTACCTTTCGATGACTCTTTTTTATAGCACTCATGCTCTCCGGAATAAGTCTAATAACATTTTCAGGTGTCTCTGGTCTATCTTGATCATCATCACTGAAGTCCTTGTATAAATTTCTAGGTGTACTCATAACAATATTATTTTCATCTATCAAATTTTCATAACTACGATGTATCGGCTTATGTACCGGCGTCATACTGACACGAACAATATCATTTATCTTCTCTCGTAAACCAGGACGGAGCGTGGGAGAGAGAAGATTGAAATCAAAGGATGAGCTACTTCCGTTGGAGCTAAGTGAAATATAACTTAAGGATTTTTTTACTTTTCTACTTCTTTGTGATGGAGTTTGGTTTTGATTCTCATCTATTGATTCGACGGATGTATTATGAGTACTTGCTATTGGAGAGTCATCACAGCTATCAAAATTTAGTGATTTATTAATTCGTGGTGATGGAGAAGAAAGTCTAAAATCTGATATTGTACGACGTGAATTAGTTTTAGGGAATCTTTTTGGACTTGGTGTTAATTCAAAGTTTAATGTCTTATTTATTTTTTTGTATCCAGTTGTCATGGGATTATACTCAATATTTAAAGCTTTTAAGATTTTTGCTGATCGGCTCAAATGTATGTTTTTAATTGGAGAATGGTTAGTTGCTTTTGGTGATAAAAAATAATCATTCCTTTTTTGACAAACGTCAAAATTGAGAGATCTGTTAATCTTGTAGCGAAATAGTGTACGACTTTTTCTAGGAACTGATTTACTAAGCAATCGCGATGAAAATTTATTTTTAGAGTAAAACCGTGTTTCCGTTGGTGGAGTAAACTTGATAAACATTTTATCAGCTTCAATATTACAAAAGTCAAAATTGTCTTTTGGTCTATTCTCTACTTTTCCATCTAAACTTGATGTTCGATACATTGTCATTTATTCAACTTATCAACAGGCGATCATTAAATGTATATAATAAATCTCTCTTTTAATTGACTCAATTGATATCCGTCTAAAGTTAATAGATCTTCAGTATTTTTTGGAGATCCATGAAAAGTTAATTCATTGAAAATACCCTTTCAATAAAACCTGAAATAAAAAAAAAAGATCGTTCAAATTGCTTTTTAATTGAAACTATTCATTTAAAAACATGTATTATTAGATACAGCTATGGTGGAAATGATCTCAACCAGAAATCAATATGGTCCAAACCACATGGAAAGATTATCTTCCTGAAAAGAACCCACTACACTTGTTTGTTCTCAAAAGGAAAAAAATTTTCCCAGCAGTTAAAAACTTGTTTTCCGGAATGTCATATAATACTCAAGAACCACATGCATTGGTTAAAGAGTTTTCAAGTCACGCCCTAAAGGGCATCGACACATTTTCTATAAATTCTGATGCTGCACCCTCACATACCCCCACTTTTTCTATCACGTCGACTCATCTCATGACCATAAAAACTCTGGAGTGGTCAAGAGATAAAAAAAAACTTCAAAATAAAACTCATGCATTCTGAATGAAAATAGGAATATTTTTAACTCTTATTCAATTTGCTGTTCTCCAAGATGTAATACAATAAATTAAGTATCGACAAATTATTCCAATATTTTAGAATTTTAATGCAACAAGTCGCTATTAAAATTGCCTACTGATCTAAACGCCATCACGTCATGCTGTGCACTATATCGTATATAACTCCTACAGCATGCTACTCTCAAACTAAAAAATTCACAAAAATACTGATAACCTTTTATTATTTGAGATAATTTAGATGTGAGAAGATTCATAAAAAATTAGAAAAAAATTTATTGATAAAATTATACTCATGCAATATAAATATATAAACTAACTATATAACTTTAAATGACTTATTAGAAAATTTTTTTTAAAGAAAACCAGGTAAAAAAAAAATGATACTTACATTGTTAAATAGGTCGCATCTCATCTACACAATGAATTCAGAAACGATCAACATTTCTGATAATTTTTTACAAATCAATTTTTGATGCCGGAAGAGTAAAATTTTAATTATACTTAAAACTTGAGCTTTTAACTCTTACAACAAATTTCTACAAATGCCTACAATTTTACTACGAACCTTCCAGTCGATTGCAGTCGTGAACTATGGGGGACTATAATAATAATAAGCACAACTTCGACACTCTCAACATGTGCTTGTATTCGTCAGTATTCGTAGTACTATGTATAGAATTCGGTAGTAACTTTTACGATGGGGACACGTCACAGTCTGCTTAACTATAGATGGCGCATGATTTTTTTTATTTGTCAAGTCTCTCAAAATAGAGTCTGGCAAGACGATGCCATATTACTCAAGTCCTGCCTAAATTCCCACAAGAACTTGAGGGACTTTGGTCCTGCCGGACTCTATCTTTGCCAGACTCTATTTTATCAAGGTTAGGTTATACACAGAAAATTTCCCTAAGTTGATTTTACGCCCTCACGTTGTGCGGTGGAAGACTGAAACTCGATATTAACTGAAATGGAGTAGGTAACAGGGAAATCGTTTAAAAAAAAATAATTTATAGGGATGCATTTAAAAAGGGAAGCCTCAGGGCATCAAAAAATTGACCAATTTCAGAATCGACTATTCCATGCAAAATAGAACACAAAATATATCCATCAATTTCCATCATATTTGGAATGTAATCACGAATTTTATTGTTTTTTGAGTACAGCCCAAGTTTAAAAAATTCTAGATTAGAAACTCAATGTAATAAAAAAATCATACCCGCGGTCGGTAATTGCTCTCCAAAGATACGCCAGGCATTAATGAAGCCGATCGATGATACTTACTGATATGAAGGGAAGAGCGCGCACATAATGACTTTAGTTTACTAAACAAAGTCTAAGTGATGATTTTATCGTGATTTGACTCAAAATTTATTCAACAAACAATTGCATGAGGGTAATCTCTTCATAGCGAGCGAAAATTTTTTAAACTTTTTATACTGTAACAAAAATCGAAATTAACTTACATGTATGAAAAAAATATTTCTACGAATAATGAACCAAGAGAAGACGATTTGTAATAAATATAAATTGGTAGTCAATATAACTGTATTGGTGGTAAATATAAATAATTATAAAAATAAATTAATTAATTTACATAAGAAATTTATTTATAACTTTTGTACATCTTATAAAAATAATCTTGAGCGTGCGTATTTTATTTACATGTCAATTATGATTATTTTCAAATTTGATTTTTCAAAAATAGATATATTAAAAATATTAATACAAACGCAGTGAAGATTATAATTCTATACGTTTTATATAAATTAAAATGATATTAAATACTATTAATACTAATGTTTATAGTAATAATGATGATGATAAACATACACAGTAAAAATGATAATTATTAGAAAAAACAATCAGATATCAATGAATTTTAGCTGTGTAATTTATCATATAGCGCACGCATTAATAATCTTTAAAATATCCAAATGCTATTTATAAAATTTATTATCAGATAATATATTTACTAATAATATTCATTTCTATTCTGCTGTAAATTCAAAGTATGATTATTTCAAAGCATACATACATTATGCATTCTAAAAAAATTTTTTTTTCAATATTAATTAATATTGTTCGGTGGTTTATTTTCCTCATGTGTTTAACACTCGTTAAAGTTTGAAATTGAACGGACATTGCAACATTGTCCCGGTAGCCTCACGCAGTTTGTTATTGAGATAATTACTAAGCAAGTTGCATAGAATTATAACATGTAATTAAAAGTTAAAAGTTTTTTTTTTATTTATCAATCATTCCTGATTAACTTTGTTTCAAGTACTATTTTTCGTTAAATTATTTTCCAATTTTTTTCATTTTAGCATCTTTATAACTGAAAAACATATACTTTATTCCAATAAAACTCTTCGTTATTCACATATAAATCTTTTTTTTTTTATTTTGCTTGTCTAATATTAAATATGTAAAGATGGATTAAACTAAAGAGTTAGTCGTGTAATTACGACATGAAAATACTGTGTGTATCTTTATATTCATACGTGCAAATAATTAGATGGCGAAATCATCATTGAAACGAATTATAAATCATAACAAAAGTTGTTGTTGGTTTTTTAAATATATCGCCAAGTTTCTAGATCTTCAAATAAAATAATTAAATTTAGATAACCCGCTTTCAAGACATTGATATTGGTCCTTTGGGTTTTATCATCATTATCGCCTTCTTCAACGTATAATCCCACCCTCTCCAACGGAACCAAACAATTCCTATTAACGAATATAATACAATAAGTATTTATAATGAGGAAAGAATTTAATATGCATTAAAGAATACGAGTAAATGTTTATACCTTGTCTAGCCGTAAGATCCTGAGGATCATTCAAGTAAAGCCCATTTAATCCTCGTCCACAAGACTTCCACCACCATCCTCCTTTCAGCATGGATGCACAATTCAATGACGATCTATCATTATCCCTGAGGAAATTAATCGATATAATAAATCTTGATTCAACAATTAATTAATATTTCAGTCAACAATGGTTTTTTATAATCATGAATCTTACCGATTATAAGTAGAGAATGGACTATTGTTAGAACCATACCATGGATCATTCAAAGAGTCACCAGCATTGCCTTCATACCCATCAATTTCCAATTTATAATACTCTCCTTCAGAGTAAATTTTAAAGTGTGAGTATTGAGCATATCTGAAAAAAAAATCAGAGTAAATTTTTATTATTATTAAATAACCGGTCGTAGAAAATATCTTCTCGTCAATAGCTGATGTGAAAAATTAATCATCGTTGATATAAAAATGGAAAAAAATTCTGACATATTTAATTATGTTTCCGCTGACGTTGAAAGACAGAAGCCGAACTGTTAAGAGTACGTAATTGGTACAAGGGGAACAAAAATAATCGAGTTACCAAAGACAAGACCTGCCAATCGATCTTATTGTAGCGGGTTCTACCCTAAGAAGGGAAAGTGTAATCACTGGTGGGCTTTCGTTTCTTGTGGCATTCCTTTCATATATAACGAATCGATCAGGCCACCTCTATATGTTTTGACCCACACGTCGTTTAAGATCTCTGCATTTAATATTATACCTTGAAGTATGTTCTGTTGACTGCTGGTCAAAACTTTCGTTTTCGCGTGTCCATCCTGCAGTTGCATGCTCGTGACTCGTTTATCAAAAAACTCGATCTGCCTTTACTTGTATTATTTATGTAATAGAATATTCGACAGCAATTTAGTATATTTACATCACTAGTTCTTATCGTTTTTCTTTTTGAAAATAAAACCCATTGACGATATGGCAATTTTTAATTCTCTCATCAAATATCCATTTATCGAAAAAACTACTTTTTTTATTCTGATTAATAAATATAGTTTATTTATAATGAAAGAGAGTAAATATTACCTCTTATTCCCTTCAAAATCTTCCAATTCTACTCTGAGAGAATAATCTTCATTATTCGTGAGCATATAAATATTTTCATTGCCAAGCCAGAATTCACGTGCAGGATCTCCAAAGCCATTCTTATAATCCGCCCAATCACGATTAAAGTTTTCTCGTGGGTCTCCAAAGTCATCACGTCTTTGAATGACCTAAAAAAAAAAATCATAAATTTAAAAAAAATTTATTTCCTCATACTTGACCATCCATTGACTTGTCAATTTGATTAGCATGCTTTTTCTAAATATTCTTATTACATCAACAACCTTCGAATTAGTCGTACAAATAGTGCATATTGTATAAAATGCAAAAATCCTTTCACTGAACCCGATTCTATTCCTTTCAAAACTGGCACAATGACGTCCTCTTCTCTATCTCTCACCATTACTTGAGATATTATTCATAATAGATTATTAAAATCAATGAAGGCGTGATTTATTTGTAGGCTTATAAAATATTATTTACTACCACATTTTTTTGCTCAATTTTCCTATCTACACCGACTTAATTCAAAAATTTATACTTTTTAATAAGCTTCTTAACTTTAATAATTACGAACATTATTGGTATCCTTATTATTATTAATTAAAGAGAACATTAAAAAAAATCTATTCTATCATAGTAGAGCTTTAAATTCTTTTCAAAATTTTTTTATTCAATATAAGAAGAATAATCTTACAGTTAGGTATATGTCCTCTCACTTTTTACAATTCTTTGCATACCATTATTAGTTGTTCACTTTCTGTGTAACCCTGTGCTTTATGGTCAATTAACCGGAAAATTATTAGACCGATGACCATGTCAGTACATGCATACAATGCATAATTATTTAATAATGATTTATATAAAGAATGACCCATAAACTTTATTTCCAGATAGCTATGACTATTACAATTAATATCCTTCTTGATGTCGAAGAGAATTTAATTAACAATTTCTAGTTACTTTGCTATACAAGTGCTATAATGATTGGAGATGGTATAGCAAACATCTATTATTGGTATTTATTGAAGTGAAATTATATTTTAATAGATAGGTGTTGAATTTAACATGATAACTGTTTTGGAGAAAAGAGTCTATAGAAAGAAATATTATGAACGAATATAAGGAACAAAGACTACCTGTTACAATAATGAATTTAGCATGAAATTTTATATCTTCTTTAGTAGACTTTTTCTTGAGTTTTATTTTGTTTACATTGAATCTACTGCAATGATATATTAAATAAGAGATCAGGGAGAAACTTTATTGGTGAGATATCTGGAACGTTTTTGATTGGCTAATTTGATCGAAAGTGTTTCGTCATGATTTCACGACTCTTAGGTGCGACGAGTTCATTGACATTGTTCGGAAGTATATTCTATTATGTATGTGCTATTTTATTTAATCTCCTATAAATTATTAATTATATTTATTCAATGATAATTTATTGGAAGTTTTAACCCATTTATCAATGGAATATTTAAATTTATTAAGCTTCCATTTTTAACTTACGGTCCAACCACCCTCTGCTATTTCCTGCTCACAGTAGACTTTCAAAAACCAATATGTTGTTCCACGGATTTGCAGATAATATACTCCACTTTCACGCATTCCAGCATTGAATAAATCGACACACGAGTATCCCTGAAATTGATAAAAAAATATTTGTAAAATATTTTCAAGAGTAAATGGTTTTACATTGTAAGAATTAAATGGATGAGATAATTAAAAATTAGACTATTTTGAATTGTAAATTGGTTTAACCCACAAGGGACATTTCAAAGTATTATCATTAAGTTTCATGCTCTGCAATTGTGTTCCACTATGTTTACTAAGTAATGCAATGCTAATGAAATTTATCATTCAGAACGCCGAGACATAAATAAGCATAATGAAATTTTTTTATTGTTTATACATTTTAATTTTATATATATGTATCATTTATTTTGAAACAATTTAAAATTTTTTTTATGATGGATTGATGTGCGTACTCTATCATAAAGACAAAAAAAACCTTCAACTTAATTTATTTTAGATTGAAACAAAAGTTATTCAATTGTTTTTTAAAAAATAATAATACTATAAATTTTTTGTAAAAAATTAGTAATAATACATAAAATAATTATTCAAAGTTTAAAAAGATCAACTTTAATAGAAATAAATGTATTTCATGTCATGGCTTATATAACACAGACATTACGGTAATATTGATAAATTAGTGGATCTTCATATATTGAAGATCAATAAAATGATGAATAGATGATATGATTTAAAAAAAAATATAGCATGAGATCGTGAGAAATTAACTGAAAGGGCTACGTAACATGTTTGTCCTAAAAACATTAAGTAGGCAAACGTATGATTTAAAACCATAAAAATTTGGGTGAAAGAAAGTTACTTAATAAATAGTGGAGTCTAATGGATTTCTAATGATAGTAGTAATGACACGTGAAATGCATTATGGAAGATTTGATATTTAACATGAACAAAAATTGCTTTATATTAAATTATAAGGAATCCTTTGTTATCATTTATGATCAATATACGGTACTATGTGATCAATACTTAAAAACTCTCTTTTTGACCCTACTTGGATAAAATGTAACTTTCTCCAAGTGTAATAAAATTGATGGATTATACCCTATAAAAATTATTCAGATCAAAAGTTTTATGAATGAAGCGGATGATCATATATAAACTTTCAGCATTTTCATGCTGAAAAATCGCCAATTGATAAATTCAAACTATAATTAACAATATTTAAGTGCAATTATTCATTTAATTTATTACTTAAAATTACCTGTCATGAAATGTTAGATAAGAAATATAAATAAATTGGAAAAAAAATTAATTTCCCAACGACAAAGTTAAATGCCGCTTATATGAAAAAATATTTCATGCTGCTTCATCTTTGTCATTTGATTTATAGAAGCTCATTTTGAAGCAGAGACTTAGCAGATGCCGCTAAAGAAGCATAAAATGTTTATTCAATGTATGGTGTACGTAAATATATTTTTTAACTACATTTCTGTGACTTTGATTTGAATGGACTTCAAAATTTTACACCACAAGATCACAAAAGTTTTAACTCTTTATAAGGTAATGAATTAAAATACGATAAGGTAGAAGTGATTTTTAATATAATATTAAAAAGTACATAAAATATTAATTGGATAGCAAAATGAGTATGTGTCTTAACTTATACTTTGACATGTCCGTTAAAAGCAAAAAGATGAAGTTAAAATAAAAAAAATGAAGCAGAAGGAAATTGTAAGTGAGCCTTTCATTTTGGTTTCTCTCGTTATTTTTCAATTGGACAGCAGTGACACTGAGACATTAGTTATTTCTGCTTCAAAATATTTAATGTTTCAATTATTGAGCCTTGAATTATAATTATTTATATTTTAGTTACTTCAATATATTATCTTGTATCTTAATGATTATTCTTATTTTTTCTTGATCAATTTATTTTCACTTTTTTTTATCGATAATAAGATAATAACAATAATTATGATATTCTATTTGTTAAGATTACTAACTTCAAAGCTACTAGAAAATTGTCTACGGATACGTATCTATCAAGTACCATAATGACTGGAGGTATTTGCTCAATCAGTTTAGGAAATCTTTATTTTCTTGTTAGAAATCAAATCATTCTAATATTTTAAAAAATTAAATATTATTATTGCAATATTTATGAATAAACTTTTTACGTAATAATATGTTTATAGAATTAATTGTTCTGTCACTCACCTTAATGTCCTTGTAATTGACAAGAACATTGTCTGTTGTGAAGGTCGAATTAGCTGGACTTGGTTTGTTTTTAACACTTGGGAAAATAACTCCTCGATTCCTGGCAGTTGATCTTAATGGTGGTGATGTTGATCCACCTGATGAGGTAGAGGTTGATGTGGAAGAAGACATTGAAACTGAAATAGAATTCATGGGCGTTGTTGATGATGGATTTATTCCTGATGAGCTCTGGAGAGATGGTGAACTTGGAACAGGTGTAGTTGTAGATGAAGTTGAAGTTTCTGTTGTGTATTCTTCATTCAAGGCAATATATCTAGATAAATTGCATTAATAAATATTTAATTGAAGATTTAAAATTTAAAGTTGTAAAGATTTTTTTTAAGTAATGCTTGAAATAAACCTGTTGGGATCATATTCAACAAGACGATCAATTGTCGGATCTAAAAGAAGTTCAGCTGGAATTGGTCGTTGAACAAGATTTGCTACGTCATTCTCATGTTTCTTTAATCTACTTTCTACGCCCTCGAGATTCTCAATTATCTGGTTTGTTTTTGTTTGAAGGTCTGAATGAATTGCGTTGATTTCTCTCTCTTGACGATGGGTTTGGATCAACAACTCGTCAGATTTAGGAAGTAGATGATCTACACTACTTTTTGTACCAACCTGTGACATTGAAACACTTTTAGTTTAGAGTCCAATCATTCCATCAAAGTTTACGTTAATTTAAGATTTCATAAAAAATTAATTTAATTCCATTCTTTTTTGTTGATCAAGAATTCAGAGGTAACAATTCAAAAAATACTTTTAAACAATTGATGTGGAAACATTTTATGCAAAAAAACATTATTAGGGTAATTGATTGATTATACTTACAACAATGTTCCAAATTTGATCCATCTTTTCTGAAACACTAGTTACTGGATATATTTTTTCAACCAAACGATCAATCTTACTTCGTTTGACTACATGTGAAACTGGAGTAGTTGTTGTTTGGTTTGCTTCAGAATGAATATGTGTCTTATCAACGATCGCCTCATGTATATCTTTCGTCATAGTATAAACTGACCCAAGTGTTTCAGACACTAAATTCATATGAAACTGAAGTTTCTTATCCATGGTACCAGTTGCTTGTCTTAGATTTTCAATTTCAATTGTTATGTGATTCATCACTTCATTGCTCATAGCTTTCGTAATTTCTATGACATTCATACTAATTGGTTTCTTCTCACTTGCTTCAGCATTTATGTCATCACTTGGTAAGAAATTATTATCCAATTGATTTTTTAAGTTCACTAGTTTGTCATCAATATCAGAAACCTTTTGGTCTAATGACAGTAATTTCTCACCAAGATTTTCAGGAGTTATACTGTCATGATGAATTAATCGGATAACTGGAACTAAAATAATTATATTTAATTGGTATAATCATTAATGCAATTGTTTTAATTGCTTTATAATGATTAAAAAAAATTATAATTAAGCCTAATAATTGTCATACCGGTAAAGAGTAAAGGGTTAATTGGAAAAATTATCTTTTTTTTTTTGGACTCACCAGATTCTTCTTCATGTCCATCAGGAGGATCAGAAGTTTGTTCACTTTGTCTTAACGTTTCCGGCGGAAATATAGGCTGTGTGTGAAAGAGTTTGAGATCTAAGGTCCTTAGTTTAGTAATTACTGCATCTGTCTTGTCAATGTTGTCGTTAACCCGAGAATCTAGTGCTTCAACTCGTCTCATTAAATGCTCTACAGCCTTGTCTAAATTCTCGATTCGCTGTAGCTTTGATTCAAGGGTTGATACTATCACCTCGAAAACATTGAAGAGATATTGTTCCCTATAAGTAACATTTTCATTTAATTTTATAATATTTTTAGTCTTACTTTTCTTAAACAAATTAGACAACAATTAACTCTTTATTTTTATTTAAAAGTAATCAAAATCTATCAGTCAATTTTTTTTTACTAAACTACTAATGTTTCTTGGTAATTAAATAGATTACTCTATAAAATTATCTCTGATATTACGTTAAATTGTTGAAGAAATCAGGCATGAGTGTAATTATCGAAACGATTTATTTGCATGAAATGTTAAATAGGAAGTTATTGAAGTAATTCCAATATGTTGTAATAAATTACAGCTTTTCCCACATAAAATACGAAATTTTGTTCCTATATCTATCACTTCTACTTGAATAATATCCATTGCCAAGGTACACACAGATAACTGTACCAACAATCTCTGGGCAAAGAAACTTTCAATAGTCAGTAGACCGTAACTTCCCAGCTAGCCATTCGATATAAGTTATAAGAATTTAAAAAAAATATCGCAAATCGTTATTCTTTATGAAAACAACCGTTAATATAAGATTTGTTTTACATCATTTGTGTCTAAGCTTCTTTACACGACATTGTTTTAAATAGTAAATCCTATTTTTATTTTCAAATCTATAAACACTCATAATGGAACTATTGCTTTTTGTTATTTACAATATTACCATTATTATGAATTAAAAATCCTTAACTTATTTGTATCTTTAACAGTTCTTTAAAAATCACGTTAATGTCATTGACAGCGAATTGGTATAATTAATTTAAAAAAATCAACGTTTGCTGTACCGCAAACTTTCTACTACATCTCGTGGTCGCCTACCAAGAGTCAACATCTTTTGAACATTGTGTAGGTAGCAAATAGACAGCATCCACGAGTGAACAGCCCATTTGCACAAGTCATAGACCTCCCGATATACTATACGTACTCCTTTTATATCATTGATTCATATCAAAGAAAGTTTGTGAGTACTATATAATTCAAATAATGCACACGTGTAACAAATTGAATTACTTTCCCACACATAAATGATATATTTTTAGCTAACAATCATTTTTTTACGTTAATCTAATTGCTTCATTATTTAATGAATATTACAGTCTTGGAGAGTTAACGTATCAACACTGACCAAATGTAATACTCCAACCCATTAGTGATAATTAGAATGATCAAGAAAAAAAAAAAATAATTTTTTAAATATAAATTGTAATATTCTGTAATTTAGATTAGTTAGAAAGAGCTAGACTGCATTCTCCATTTTCCAATCTTTGAAGTCCTTTGACGGACAATTAATAACGTGAAAAATTGTGTACTATTTAAAATTACTCACATGAGTTTTAAAAGAAAAGAATCAACAAACCGGTTTTAAATAAATGTCTCTCAAAGATCTTTTTGATATCTGAATGTATTATAACTAACGATATTTCTAAATTTTATCAGTTGGATGAATGATTTGATTGTCAATTTGCAAATATGTTATCAGTATACTACAAAAGAGAAACGTTCCCAAAGGCAATCCTTTCACCCTCAAGTAACTTATGTACTACTCTTCCTTTGAATCTATTTTATTTCAAACTGATTGTATAATACATAACCACCGGACAACCTAATTCCTTTTTCATCGTTTAACCAACTTCTGATCGAGTTTTTCATCCCTAAATGGCTGACGAGAAAATTTCCTCGTATCAGAGAAAGTGATAGGAATCAACACGATGCAATTGATTCTTTTTTTCTATTTAACTTTTTTCTATTAATTTATGTACTGTCAGTGAATTTTTTACATTGGAAAAGTGACAAGTATTTTTTTGTGTGCAATAAGAAGTACTGAAGCAAAGTCTTATTATGAAAGGTCTTGAAGTCAATAATTTTAAAGGAAAAGAATGCTTTTAAAAACATATTAATAACGAAATATTTCTTTAAAAATATTTATTTAATAATATTTATTTTTTGTTTTTTTTTGATACCACATTCATCTGGAGTGACCCAAAAGAACGTTTCATCAGTGAAATTAATTCTTTACTCAATATATCCATTCACTAGAATAATCCAATCTAAATTGAATTTATATCAATCATAAAGTATTACATAAAATTTATTAATCATAAGAAATCTGAATTGTTTTTATTTTAGTTGACTTTGAATCGAATAAAAGGTTCACAAACGATCTGAATACCAACAAGATTCTTACGTACAAACTTATGACATAATGTTAAATACTGCAACAACCTGAACTCATATAATCGTTGCTGCATCAGCTTACAACTTTTTTTATCTCCTTCAAAGAGAAACTCTTATGTACTTGATCACTGATAGCCATCAGTTCCAATTTCGAGGTGTTTTAAAAATTATCTCACTTTTTCTTGTAGTACAGGATGAAATATTACGTCAATAATTCCAACAACAATACATCAATGAGTAATGATAAACCTAAAAACTATCATTATATAAATAATGTGCTGTTGAATAAACTGTTTTATTATTTACGCAACTTATAATTATCAGTTATAAGGAATAGGTTTTGCCATATTTTGAAAAATTTTAAGTATGATAATTCTAACGGTTAAAGTTAATAATAATGCAGTATTTGAGTTTTAAAGTAGCAAAAAGTAATAAGTGATTGATAAAATTTATTCGTTAAATAAATAATTAATATAAAGATAAAATTTGTTGAAAATATTAATTATCATAAAATATTATTATTATTAATGGCAATAGTTAATTTACTCATAACATTTGATAAAAAACAGCAACTAATAAATTCCGCAATGAAAATTGCAATGATTTTTTTTTTTATAGTATTTATGTAATCCATAAATATCTAATTTTATGACGATCTATTCTCATCTAACTTCTTGAGTTAAATTTGCGATTATTCTGTGATTATATACAAAGTGAATGATTTCGGTCGAGGCTACAATAACCGCCTACTGCCGAATTACAACATCTTTGGCCATTAATTATAATTGCTCGGCATGACCTGTGTAGAGATTAGATGAGAAAGATTGCAGAAGACTGTAAGGTAGTAGATGATGTTATAGATTCTTCATGTAATTTACAATTCGAATCAATTATTAATTATTGTCTAATGATTATTATATTCATCATTAGTCTGTTATCAAGTAAATTTTTGGTAAAAAAGTCATTACACTTTTTTTTTGCAAATGGGCTATCACTAAAGATATGTTGTAATATCTACTATTTATTGGTAATCTTCAACTATCTGACACCTACGTGAAGTTCAATGATCCGATGGAACTATATAAATAATTTATGTAAATAAACATGAAATGTAAATAAAAATAAAAATGACAACATTTTTTATACAGATATGCTTTGAAATTCATTGAAGAAGCATAAAAGTATCAGAACATGTAGGATAAACCAGATCGTGAATGTTTGAATATAAAAATATGTAACATGTAAATAAATGATAAAATGAAATTAATATGAAAAATAATCTCGCAATATTTAATGTTTAAATAATAATACCATTATCTATATTCTTTGATGATTAATATTATTACATTGAGTCGATCATTGAAATCATTCAACATCTTACAACATATTTTAGAATTTTTAAAAAAAGTAAAGTAGAATTAGCCAAGACTTATACATTTTAATCACTAGTGAAATGAATTTCTACCATTTTTTAGAAAGATAATAATAAAAAAAAATTCTTGAACATTTTAATCCATCAATGACTGAATTATTAATTAATCAAGTAATTATTAATTATTTATAAATAATTCCATCTAACATTAATTATACGTCGTGATCAGACTGTAGCCTTTAAAAATAATAAAAGGATTCGATACTACTAATGTATCACTTTACACGGGGAGAATGGACTTTTAAACTGTCTTGTTAGTAGGAATGTTCATAAGTATAAGTGTGTTATAAAAGTGAGTACTTAAATGAAACTGGAAAGATAGAACTAAATCATTATATACACGATTAAACGTGGCTAGCCACGTGAGTAATGTGCTGTAGACAACTTAGCTTTGTTTTTACGTTCGTTTTCGTATTTTCAATTATTTATTTATATAAATTATCTACAATTTTCCGCAATGAAACAATAGCCCCAGTAATTGTTTACAATGTTTCGTAAATATCATTTGAATAAACTGGTTATTTATTTGTTTGTTTTATAATAATAATCATGTAATTGGTTCACATATCTGCAGTAAGTCTCTTTGGTGAGAAACAATAATGTTCAGTTGCAAAAGCATTGAAGAAAAGCTGTACTGAAGTCATCTTTATCTATTTGAAAATTCAAAACTGAAGTGGATGTAAAGATCTGTAAAAAATGAGGGACTTATTGTTCATTGTTGAAAGACTTTTGCACCTGTTCCAGTGGAACGGAGCATGGCTCGTTGGATCATAAGACTGGTTCTTCCGTCCTACCTTATACTTTTTTTCATTTATCTCTTTCATGTTCTTTTTCCTTGTTTACTTATCTTTCTTCTCTTTTTCCTTTTTTTGGGTCAAGGAAGTCTTGAGATACTAAAGAAGTCTCTTATGGCTAATAATGAAATTGTACGTGGGTGTCAGAAGACCAATTGGTGGATCAAAAAATCTTGTGTAAGGTGTAATCATTCAGGAAGTGTAAACTCTTCATTTTTCATTTCAACACTTGGTGATAAATACTTTTAAATTTTCTTGCCAGTTCAAGATAAATTTTAATATACTTATAAATTCTTTTTTATTATTTTAAAAAGTAACAAGCAAAAACATTACACATTCAGAGTTGATGACCTTAAGATCTAACTATTGAATGAAGTAACATTTTTTTTTAATTAATTGAACAGTAGACAATGATAGATCAATATCAATTGATTTGATAAAATCTAATGAAATAATATAGTTATTATATGACATATAATATCGTGAACAACTCAAATTCAATATTCCTCAAGACTCTTGCTTAACTATTTGTTGACCATTCACCAAGTGGTACACTCAATGTCAGGCAATTTTTTAAACTGCTGATACATTTGTTCAACACAA